CTGCCTACCCTCTGGTTTACTCCTCTGACCCCCTGACAGCCCCTGATGCTGAGGTTCTCGCCCTGGAACCACACCTTTCCACACCTGGGCCCAATTCCAGGCCTTGCATGTCCCCTCCACTCTGCCCAGGATGTACCTCCTTCTTAGTCCCCCAGGTTCCCCTACTTTTGGCCCTCCCTCTGGCTCACCCTGACCATATGAGGCTGGGGATATCCGTACTGTCTTCGTCTTCCTCAGATCAGGCGTCCTCCGGGGCTGAGGCCTGGCGGTAGGGAGGCAGACACAGGCCAGGAGGCAGGGCCTTGTTTGGATAGCTCCTAGGACCGGTGGGTGGGTGGGTGGGTGGGTGGGTGGGCAGCTCGTTGCATGGACGGACAGATGGCGGACATGTACCTTTGGCCTACCGGGTGGTGGGTCATTAGGGGAGAAGTGGGCAGATAGGCTCGGGGGCTTCGATGGATGAGGAGGTAGGCGGGTGGGTGGGTGGCTCCCTAGATGGGAGGCATCCAGGTGACCCCTCGCCATCCCTCCTGCAGAGCGGCAACAAGATCGCCCTCCGGACCACCGCCCTGGAGAACACCTCCATCAAGGTGGGCCCCGCCCGGAAGAATGTGGCCAAGGGCCGCATGGCACGCCGGAGCAAACGGAGCCGCCGGCGGGAGACACAGGACCGGTGAGCGGCGGGTGGGCCCTCCACGGAGTGTTGGTGGAGGACCCGGGGGCCAGCTCCCCGGGCTACTGGGGGCGTGGGTTCTGAAGCATCAGGGCTTCCCACCCTCAGGCGGAAGTCGCTCTTCAAGAAGATCTCAAAACAGTCCTCTGTGCTACACACCAGCCGCAGCTTCTCTTCCGGCCTCCACCACTCCCTGTCATCCAGCGAAAGCCTCCCGGGGTCACCCACCCACAGCCTCTCCCCCAGCCCCACCACGCCTTGCCGCAGCCCAGCTCCTGATCCCCCAGCAGGTACGTGTGCCACCCCAGGGCAGCTCAGGCCTGTGGTGCCTGGCCCCACTGAGGGAGCCAGCAGGGTTTAAAGGAGGGAATGACATGATGTGGGAAATGAGGTGACCAGAAGGGCCTTTCCGGGCAGCCTGGAGGTGGTAGGAGACAGGTGTGAGAGCAGGGAAGAGTGTACCCAGCAGAGGGAGCATCATGAACAGAGAGGGCTGGGCAGGAGGGTTACGAAAGCAGGGGAGAGAGGAAGTTGGGAGATGAGTCAAGCCAAGGAGCTGGGCTTACGTTGGTGGGCAGTTGGGAGCCATGGAGGGTGTGTGAGCTGGAGAGGGCATGTTTTAGAGGGGTCTGAGTTTTAGAAAGATCATTCTGGGGCAGGAAAGGATGGTGATTTGGCCCAATGCTGAGCGCCCCCAGTCTATGAGACAGCCAGACACAGACACCCCCAGCCCCACTGGGTTAGCATCCAGCTGAAGGGAGGAACAGGCTGGGGCAACCCAAAGGGGAAGCAGGGAGGGCCTCCAGGAGGCCTGGGCACCCCAGTTGCTACCCCTCTGGCTCACCCTGACTTCATGGGGTGGAGGGTATCTTTGGCCCATTGAGTGGTAGGTCATTAGATGCGAAACGGGTGGATAGGAACTAGGGCTTTGATGGCTGAGTAGGAGTTCACCAGGGAACAACTTGCACACGGAACAGGAGACAAGAAAAGCAGGCATACTGGGTGGCCACGGGGAAGGACGTGGGCTTTGGCAGGTGCGCTCAGCCCCACGGCCCCACATTGAGGCTGGTGGCCCTGACCCTCATCTGTCCTCCACAGACACGGCATCCCCTCCCAGTGCCTCCCCGAGCTCCAGCAGCCCTGCCTCTCCCGCCGCCGCTGGCCACACCCGCCCTAGCTCCCTGCATGGCCTGGCCGCCAAGCTCGGGCCACCCCGCCCCAAGACCGGTCGCCGCAAGTCTACCAGCAGTATCCCGCCCTCCCCACTGGCCTGCCCACCCGTGCCTGTGCCCCCACCCCGCTCACCCTCACCCCTCCCCGGACACCCACCCGCGCCCGCCCGGTCTCCGCGGTTGCGCCGGGGCCAGTCAGCTGACAAGCTGGGTTCGGGTGAACGGCTGGATGGGGAGCTGGGACGCCGCGGCCGCGGGCCAGACTCGGAGCTCGTGGTCATGCGGCGGCTGCACCTGTCCGAGCGCCGAGACTCCTTCAAGAAGCAGGAGGCTGTGCAGGAGGTGAGCTTTGATGAGCCGCCCGAGGAGGCCACCGGGCCGCTCACCTCCGTACCACAGATTGCCGTGGAGGGCGCAGAGGCTGTGCTGGGAGCCCTTGGACCTGCCGGGAAGGACTGATCCCTCCCACCTGGCCTCTCCCTGGCCTAGAAGTTGGGCTTTTTTTGTGCAATGTTTTTTCCGTAAAGTGACTTCTGGATGGAGACTGAGCCACCAGACTATGACACCTGGAAGGCGAGAAGCCATCTCGGTCCTTACTGGAAGGCGGAAACGGCACCTCCCTCTGTTCTGGTACAGATCAGGGGCCGTAGGGGCAGGAATGGGGGACGAGGGTGGCATTGTAAATAGCAGCAAATCCCTGCAACTAATTTATTACTTTTTATAAGCGATAGGTAGACTGAGCCGCCACTGTGGAGGCGGCTGCCCGGGTCCTGCCCCTTGCACCTGGGACCCCATTTGCAGACACTGCCCCCTGGGCTGAGAAGGAAGCACTTGGACAAGTCATGTATGTTCGTGTTTTCTAGGTTTTCTGTATTTTTTAGTTTTTTGTGTGTTACTTGATCCCATCCTGGCCCAACACCCGCTGATTTGAGGGGATACAGGCAAGCTTACCTGTCCGGGCCCAGTTTGGATGTGACTTGGAGAGTCTACAAATGATTCCCCTCTCCCACAAAACAAGCAATCTCGATGATGGACTGGATTCTGAAAGCTACTTCTCACTATCATAGCCTCCATCCCTAGGCCAGTCTTGCTAGAGTTTACTTCTAGTCCTGAAGGCTTCAGCTTGGAGGAGGGGGTGTGGGAACTGGGACTTTCATGGATGAGTAGGAGTTCACCAGATCTAGGCAGAGGGGTCACCCATCCCACAGGGTGACACTGATGCCCTGGGAGGGAGACTCAGGACTCCAAGGGTACTACCAGGGCAGGAAAAGAATGCCCGCCCTGCACAAGATTTCATGTGCTTAATGCCCACCAGGGTGAGCCCTTGACCATGATGTGTCTGAAACACCCCACGGGGTGTCCCTCAATGTGTCACAGCCTTCCTAGAATGAAATTCAAGTGAGAAAACCCAACTGGGGAGCAATGGGGCCCAAGTTTGAATCTTGGCTTCCCTGTGTGGCTCTGGGAAAATGGCTTTCCCGCTCTGTGCCTCAGTTTCCTTGTGTTTACAAAAACTAATCCCAATGACTATTTATTAAGCATCTACTCTATGCCAAACGCTTTTACTTGTGGCTTCTCCCTCAGCCAGCCTTGAGAAGGCTGCAGGTGGTGTCGTCATCCCCATTTTACAGACAAGTAACTGAGGCCTGGTGAGGGGTGGAGACTTGTCCCACAATCACCTGGTAAAAATCATGCAGCCAGGCCCTTTGGTGGGCCTTGTCAACAAGGGAGCTTGAATGGAGGAGAGTCTGGTGCCAGATACAGCTGACTCCATTTCCAGCTTTCTTCCCTAGGATGCTATGTGACCCACTAGGCATGTCAGACAGAACCTCCATTTCCTGTTTGGAGGTGCCTGGCAAGATCACTGTGCCCCACATGGTGAGGGCTCTTTCCAGGCACTGCAGCCCACTCTGCATCCCTCCCAGAGACCCCCACCCAGCACTGGCTGGTGTTGGAGCTAGACCAAGGCTGTGCATGACTTGCTCCCTCTTTCCATCCTGGAGCTGACCGTGAATAAAAGCCCACATTTACAAAGAGGAGGTCCAATGTCTGGATTTGTGAGGGGCAAAGAAAGGGGTAAGGGAAGAGTGCGGTGGGGACAGGGTGAAAACTGGCTTCATTTGAAGGGGTTTTGAAGGCTGCATAGGAGTTCACCAATGGGATTATCTCCCTGATGCCTTCTCAGGCCCCTGGCCTCCTGCTGCCCTCTCCCTGAGTACCCATCATAGGCTCTGCCCTTAAAATCTTCATCCAGACACCGATCTGGGGCCCTGAGCTGTGTTAATAAAATAAATAAACCATCTTTGTGTCCTTTCTATACAGGTTTTTGTTTGGACTGTGCCCCATACCACCCCACCCCCGCCCCAATCCCCCAACCCAGCCCAGCTCGAGGGCTTTGGGTTACTTCCTGAGCTCTTGGTAGCGCCAGAAACCTTTGACCACGCCCCCCGTTTCCGAGTGTCTTCGGCTATTTCCGGAAACAATCGTCCGCATCTGGGCCCTTGGGCGTGCTCTCGCGCTCGCAGGGCTGCAGTTCGTTCAGCTGTTTCCGGACGCTCTAGGCTGCCATGGAAACGCTTTCAACCCCGGCCTGTTCCGCTTTCCCGAAAAGCTCAGCTTTCTGTGGCGAGCTCCTTTCCCACCCTAACGTCTCTCCTCTTCCCCTGAGCTCGGGGCCGACTCACTCGCCCTTTGGAGTCATCCATTCTTGGCAATTTCGGGAAGTTAGTGGTCAGCCTCTGGGTCTAAACTTCCAGGGCCTCTATCTGGGTCCAAGCATACTCGGTTCTTTCCAAAACTCTCCGCAGTCCGGAGGCTCAGCCTCTGTTCATCAGTCCGGCTGGAAGGCACTCGGCGATTTCCGGAATCGCTCGGGCATCTCAAAGCCCAGCCGAGCTTAGGGAAAGGCTTAGCTGACCCGATTGCACTCGGCTGTCTCCGGAAATGATCGGCGATCTCGGGGCATCTTCTACCCGCCAGTCCCGCGGGAGTATGTTCGGTTCTTTCCGGAAATACTCGGACGTCTCGAGGCTCCGCCTCCACCTAGCTGCACCCGCCCGGCCCGAATGCGCTCGGCCATTTCCGCCGGGGGCGGGCCCGGCTGTTCGGAACCGCGGCGGCGGTGGCGGAGGCGGGGATCCCGCGGCTGCGGCGACGGCGGCCGCGGTGGAGCCACGGGTCGGGCTCGGCTCGGTGTGACGGCGGCCTCGGCGGCGGTGGCGGCCGCGACCAGGTAAGTCCAGGCCGGCCGGCGTGGCAGGCCGGGCTGGGGTGCGCTCAAATGCGGGGCTCCTAAGTGGAGTGTGGGGCCGAGGTGGAAGTCAGAACGCGAGCGCCGAGCTGCATCGCGCCCCGCGGGAACTGGGGGCCCCAGGGAACGGGAGGGAGGCCTCGGGCTGGACCTAGCAGCAGTGCTGCCTGCCCGGGACCGTGGGACAGGAACGGGGTACCCCCAGGCCGAGATAAGGGGCTGGGGCTGCGGCCCCGAATGGAAGGAGGCCCTGCCTGGAGCGGAGCGTCGAGCAGTAATAAGGGGCACCCAGGCATTGTGTGGGACATAGTGGGATGCAGGAGGGTCGGGGGTCGACTCCACTTCCGTTCCCCGGGCTAGGCTGCCGGGTCCACGCAGGCCCGAGTGCGCGTCTGAACACGCGTGAGCGCGCGCGGGCCCTGCGTCCAGCCGGCCAGCCCCTGGCCAGGCCTGGCCCCTCCACCCCGCCTTTTGGATTCGGGGAGCGCTGGTTCCCCGGGCGCACACACCGGGGCGTGTGCAGACCTGTGCATGCTGGAGCGCGGAGGCGGGCAGGCAAGCGGATCCAGGTGGTTTCCTGGATGTCCCCTCACTGGGCCTCAGTTTCCCCACCTGTAGAATGGGAGTACGGGAGGCCAGGAAGCGGGTAAGTTTGGGCGCCCCGGAATGTGGAGCCTCTGCTCCCTGCTCCGACACCTTCTGGGGCTCTCGTGGTCAGGGGGATAAAGCCCACTCTCTAACTGGTACTCGAGGACCAGCGTGGTGGCTTGGTGGCTTTCATAGTGCCACCCTGAACTCTTGGCAAGCAACTTCCCGCTGTCAAGCCTTGGCACGCACTATTTCCTCTAGCCAGTGCTGTCTCCTGTCCTCTGTGAAGACCCGCCCCCTAGAAAAGCACGCCCTCCCCCACCACCCAGTCTCAGGAGAACCGCACCTGCAGGGCTGACACTGGGAAGGCTGTCTGGGGTGGGCTGTTTCCCCAAGACTTGGGGCCCCTGGGGCTTGAGCATTGCCCTGCATCCAGCAGCCTCCCCCCTTGGCAGCTGTGATGCCCATCTCCCATTCACGCTGTCCTGGCTCCATGTCTGCCTTGGGGCCAAGGTCCCCTTGGTCTCCCATGACCTCCCCACGTGTTTTGAGATCCTGTTCTAGGCCCTTCATTTAGCCAAGCCGGAACACCGTCCCCCCACTTCATTTCTCCCCTGCAGAGACCTTGGACTCACTTCTTAGTCCTTTGCCTGTGCTGGGGCCTCTGCCTGGACCTGCTTTCCTACCTCTTTGCTTCCTTACTGCCTCCTTCTGTGCTCAGCTGGCCCGGCCCCTCCTCCAGGCTCCCACAGTACCCTGAGCATTCCCCATCACACTCCACCCACTCTGGGTATAACTATGTAGCCATGTGGCTGCTACCTCCTGCAATCCATTCTGGGCCTTGAGGTTGGGTGGATCTCGGTTTATGAGTCCTGGCTTCCTGGCCCACTGAGTGGTCCAACAAAGACCTCCCTGCTCTGAGCCTCAGTTTCTCCATCTCTAATGAAGGGGCAATGAAGAGCTTATTTACTGAGCATGCGTTATGCCTGGGGCAGGTTCTTGGAAGCTCTGCTCCCAGTGACCCCAAGGGAGGGCTGTTGTTACACCCATTTTACAGCTGGGGAAACAAGCCTAGAGAGGGGCTAGGACTGGCCCAAGGTTACCTAGTGAGTCAGGGGATTCTGACCCCATATTTGGGCCCATCTCTGGGGTGGGGGTGGGAGGAGCCCAACCTGGCTGATGCCACCCTGCCCATCTCCCCCTAGGTCGGCGTCCTGGCCAAGCATGGTGACAGCCTGTGCCCTCGGCCCCCTCGTCTGGCGCAGCCGGAAGAGCCGCCAGCCTCGGGCGCCGATGGCCCCCCATGTGAGGGAGTGAGCAGCCTGGCCCTGCCCTACGGAGTGAGGGGGGACGCAGCGGCTGAGTGAGCTGAGACCACGCTGCCGACCCCCTCCCACCAGTTGACGAATGGTGGACCGAGCAATGAATGACCCATGTCAGGGTCATGGAATAATGGTGGGAAGCAAGGCATGAGTGACCCCCGTGGTCACCTGTAACTTCTCAGTAGAAATAGTGGTCTCGGTGCCCCAAGCCGACTCAGCCGACCCTCCCGGCCCTCGCCCCAGCTGATGGGGCCACTGGGGCCCCGAGCAGCAGCTTGACCGTCCAGACCCCACCCTGCCCAGCCATGGCCGGTGCTGAGGGCTTCCAGTACCGCGCACTGTACCCATTCCGCCGGGAGCGGCCGGAGGACCTGGAGCTGCTGCCGGGCGACGTGCTGGTGGTGAGCCGGGCAGCCCTGCAGGTGCTGGGCGTGGCTGAGGGCAACGAGCGCTGCCCACAGAGCGTGGGCTGGATGCCTGGCCTCAATGAGCGCACGCGACAACGAGGTGACTTCCCCGGCACCTACGTCGAGTTCCTGGGTCCTGTGGCCCTGGCCCGGCCTGGCCCTCGTCCACGTGGCCCCCGCCCACTGCCCGCCAGGCCCCGGGACGGGCCCCCTGAGCCAGGTGAGCGGCAGGTAGGGACCCTGGCAGGGACGGGGTCCCCTCAGACCCTCAGTGAGGCAATGGCACGTCTTCCAGGGGAGGAGGAATAAGCACATTTGGTCAGTCGATAAGTGTTGACTATGCTGCTGTCAAGGGCTGGGCTCAAATCATGGCACTGGGAACACAGTGGCGGACATAGGCCTGGCCCCTGCCCTTGTGGGGCTCCTGGTTCAAGAAGTGACAAGAATGTGATTAGGTAATGAAAAATGCTGTGAGGAAGGAGCCTCACATGGGGAGAGCTGGGGGTGAAGGGCTCCAGGCAGCACGCACAGCAAAGACAGAGGCTGCGAGGTAGGACTGTAATGGCAGGTTTGGGGAACAGCCAGTGGAGTCGAGTGGGAAGGGAAGGGCAATGGGGGCTGTGCCTCAGAGATTCTGTGGGATTGATTTTGAGGACAGCGGGGAGCGTTCAGTAGGATTCAGAGGTTCAATTTAGCTTCATCCCTCAGTTTTGCAGATAGGGTCCCTTGAGAAACCCCTTTTGTTACCTAACCAGGTAACCAAAATGAAGGAAGCCACAAAGCCAAAACAGGATGGGATGATCCCTCGAGGCCATGCAGCACACTGGGGTATGAGGACCGCACATCCCTCCCCAAAGACCCTTGGCCATCTACACTTCCAAGGGATGTGCTAGGAGTGAAGAATTGAGGGCACTGAGTGTATGTGGAAATTGCTGTATGCTGGGCAGAGCGCATGGGTTCCAGCCAGGGAAACTGAGGCTCAGCTTGTGGGAAGGAGGCTAAGTGCCGAGTGCCTGGTAGTCTGCTCCAACCTTCACAGCAACCCAGGGAGGCCCTGTGTACAGATGGGGAGACCGAGGTGCAAAGGGGTCAAACCACTCATTCGGGGTCCATTCCCCAGTGAAGGCCAAGGCCCTGGGAAGCGCCATGGCCCCAACCTTTGGCCTGCCTGGTTTGGGGCTAGAGGGACACTGGTGCCCCAAGAGGGTCACGCCAGAGCCCCACAGCATGGGGCCAGATGGGAAGCACCCGAGGCGAGGGTTTGCAGCATCTGGTGCCTCCAGGGCCCGGGCCTAAGTCCCGCCTCAGCCTGGAGGAGCAGGAGGCGGCCCCATCCGGGCTCCCAGCCAAAATCTGCCTCTCCCCCTGGTAACAGCCGCCTCCCTCCTCTGCCTGGCCCCGATCCAGCCTCTACACACATGCCCACTCTGGGTGGCTGCCCAGCCCCGCCCTCCAAATCCTCCAGGGCTGTGTGACAGCGGCTGGGGCCAGCCCTGCCCCGGCCTCAGTCTCCTCATCTGGCAACTAGAAGGCTTGGTCCTTTGCACGTTCAGGCCCTGCCCCCCCGGGGTCCTAGGACCACCCAGCAACATGCTGTGGCCGCCTGTGTTTCCTCCATTCGACCCTACACCGGGAGCCGAGAGCAGAACGTCCGTGTCACCTGGGCCCCCCAGAGGGAGGTTGCTCTCTCTCTCAGCCTCAGTTCCCAATCCATAAAATGGGGGTGACACGTGTTCTGATGAGTTTTCCCTCCCCGTTTTGCAAACTCGTCACAGGCAGATTTCAGAACCGTCCCCTCCCCCCCATCACCCACCTCCTCTCCCCTTGTTCTCTCTCTCTTTTTTTTCCTTCAGCGTTTTTGACTTAACTGGGCCTTTCTCCAGCTTGAGGCACCACCTGGCCCATCACTCAGGGAGGCCCTGCAGGCCTGGGCTTGCCTCTGCTGTATGCCAGGGCGTCCCTGCCTTCGGCCGGAGCCTGCACACAAAGGGCCCGGTGGAGCGAGAAACGCAGGGCCAGGAAGGCCCCTGGCACCCGCTGGGAGGGGTTTCGGCATTTTTAAAACGGGGGGTAATACTTTTTTTTAAAACAAGATGACTTAGAGAATGGAGGAAGGTCCTTGGACTGAGGTGTTCTAACCCGCAGAGGGATTTTGTCCTTTTATTCTTTTCAACCGCTTTGTTGTTCGCCCTAAGGAGGGAGAGAGGACACCGTGAGCCAGTTTCTTACCTGAGGAGACCGAGGCGCAGAGATGGTGGGTCCTGGGCCCCAGGTTGCACAGCAAGCAATGGCAGCACCCTAAACCTGCTCTCCTGAACTCCCACAAGCTCGGTGGCTTCGAGCAACAGTGTACTTGCCTGCTGTTCTGGAGGCCCGAAGTCCAAAATCAAGGTGTTGGCGGGGCCGTGCTCCCTCTGGAGGTTCTCGGAGTGGATGGTTCTTTGCTTCTTCCAGCTTCTAGTACCTCCAGATGTTCCTCGGCTTGCAGCCGCATCACCCCAATCTCTGCCTCTGTCCTCACATGGCCTTCTCTTCTTATAAAGACACCAGTCATTGGATTGCGAGCCCTAAATCTCAGATCTTGTCTCAGAATTCTTACTTTAATTACACCTGCATAGTAAGATCATAGTCACAGGTATCAGGGATTAAGATGTGGACGTATCATTTTGAGGGACATTAATCAACCCACTATACCTGGTCTCTGAAGTTGTGTAAACGGATATTTTAACCCAGAAAATTGTTTACCACCAACTCGGCCCTCCCAGCCCCTCCAGCCAGGTTTTGGCTTCCCTAGGATGGTGGTACAGATGCCAGGCACTTGCCTAGACCAGACCCTACCTGGAGCTGCCCAAGCTGAGGTCCAACATGCAAAGAAAGGGGCTGGGGTCCTTCCAGGGAACCCCACCAACATGCTCTCCCCTTCTGCCAGGCCTCACACTCCCCGACCTGCCAGAGCAGTTCTCCCCACCTGATGTGGCTCCCCCCATCCTGGTGAAGCTGGTGGAGGCCATTGAGCGGACAGGTGAGCCTCAGCCTGCCTACAACCCCAGTATGCTGCTTGCTTACCTCTGTTGATGGGCAACTCCTCCCCTCATGGGGCTGCCAGACTCACTCTGCATGGAAAGAAGCTGAGCTTGGATGCTCTGGGCCTCCGTGTTGAGTTGGGGCAGTAGTGACTCCTAGGATGTGGATGGGAATATGGTCACCAGACCCGCCATTGCACGTACTGTGCCCTCTGGCACCATCTCTCTCCCTTACCCCTCCCGGCCCCAATTATCTCTGGGAGGTTGAGTAGCCATCCCAGGCCCCACAAGGGCTCCAGGAAGCATTTGAGGGCTGGGCTTGCCACCTGGGGTAGAGCTGAACCACCCCTTCCCCTTTCTCCCCAGGGCTAGACAGCGAATCCCTCTACAGGCCTGAGCTGCCCGCCCTGCGCACAGGTGAGGGGAAGCTTCGATGGGCAGGGGTTGGAGGGACAGCCGGCCTGGACATCACGACCGACATGTCCCCCTGCACCCGCAGACTGGTCCCTGAGCGACGTGGAGCAGTGGGACACCGCAGCCCTGACAGACGGCGTCAAGGGCTTCCTGCTGGCACTGCCCGCGCCCCTCGTGACTCCCGAGGCCGCGGCCGAGGCGCGCCGGGCCCTGCGGGGTGAGCCTCGCGGGGAGCCCGGGTGGGGAGGGGGCCGGGGCGG